AGCCAGTGAGCGGCTGGTCTGTATGTGGGATCCGAACCCTCGGCGGGAGTGCCGCCGCGCTTCCCAAGTGGCGCACTATAGCAGTGTGCCACCGGGCCGGCCCTACGTTTACTTTTTAAAATAATTTTTTAAAAAGTTTTGTCATAACTTCAAACTTAACAAAAAAGTTGCAAGAATAGTACAAAGAATTCCTGGGTATCCTTTACCCAGACTTGTCAAATGTAAATATTTTACCTCATTTGCATTCTTTCCCCTTCTCGCTAATTATTTTTTCTTCAGTCATTTAAGAGTAAGGTACAAACATGATGCTTCTCTACCCTCTAATTAGTTGTGTTTTTCCCCCATAAAAGCAAGAAATTCTCTAATCACAGTGCGGTGATTAAAATCAGAAAATTAGCATTAATACAAAACTTATGTAATTAATAGACTATATTGAGATTTTCAGATGTTCCAATACATTTTTTTACAGAAAAAAATTAAGATTATACATTGCATTGGGTTATCATATCTCTGTAGTCTTCTTTAATCTGGACCAGTTCCTGAGTGTGTTTTATGTAACTGACTTTTTTGTAGAGTCCAAGCCAGTTATTTTGTAGAAAGACTTCAATTTGTGTTTGTCCGATGTTTTCTCATGATTAGATTTAGGTTATGTCCTTTTGGCAGGACTAACCTAGAAGGGATGCCAAATTCTCAATGCATTGTATCAGGAGGCATGTGCTTCAATTAGTCCATACGTTCCCCTATATCCTTGGGTTGTTCGTTGGTTTTCTGTTGTAAGGAACAGCATTCTTTTTCTTCATCTTTTTGCTTATTCATTTGTTTCTCATATCAGTGTGGACTCTTGGATTTTTACTTTAATTCAGTAGGATTTAATCCTTTACAATCATTATTTTTACTTGATTTTTAAAACATTTTCAATTTACAGACAGTGAAATTTACTCTTTGATGTACAGGTCTATGAATTTTTAACATGTATAGATCATATAATCATCACAATCAAAATACAGATCGATTCTATCACACCCCTGCCACCCCACCTCCCAATTTCATTATGCTAGCCCTTTGTTTTCAAATCCTTTCCCCGTCTTTAATCTCTGGCAACTTCTGATCTGTTCTCTGACCTTATGGTTTGCTTTTTCCAAAGTATCATATAAATGAAGCTATGTAGCCTCTTGAGTCTGGTTTCATTTACTTAGCTTGATGTGCTTGATATTCATCTAAGGTCGTATATATATATAAGAGTTGGGGGACTTCTGGTCAAGATGGCAGAATAGACAGACCCCAGTGTCATTCTCTCCCACAAACCAACAAATTTACAACTATAAAAAAGCAACAACAGATAATCTGGGGATGCTAGAGCTCAGGGGAAGAGGAGGAGAGTCCTACAGAGTGCATGAAGGCGGGAGAAGCCATGATGAGAGGAAGAAAAAACCACTCTGACCGTTTCAAGCCCTGGCCACTTCCAGGCTGGAGCTGCTGAGCGCTCGGAGCAGGAGCTGGCAAAAGCTGCAGCTGTGCCCTTCGGGTAAAGTTGCTTGGAGTTGGAAGGGGAGAAGAGGGCCTTGGTGGCCCCCAGGCCATCAAGACCACTAATAGGGCTCCCGTGGACCCACATAAGAGCAAGGAGCCACAACAACTGAAAAAAAGCAGCCACTCAGAAGCCAACCAGTCATCGCAAGGGACCAGTGCATGGCTTGTCCCATGGGAAATGTTTGGAGCATGTGCGGTAGGGGAGACAGGCCCACTGGGAAAACACGGAAACAGCAAGGACAGCAGATCTGCCCCCCAATCAGCATAGGACCACTCAGAGAAGCCTGGTCAGGAATATAGAATTGCATGGGGTGTAGTTTGATGAGAACACTTGGGCCTAGACCAGAGTTTCTACACAACCCAAGTGCACTGGATCTCTCGAGAGCCAGAAGTACCTATAAAGTCAACCATTAAAATCTGTGCTGCACAAAAAGCCTTCCTTAAGGAATCAGCAGCAAAGCAGGGATTTAGCTCAACCACAGAGCTCAAGGGCTGGTCCCTACAGTAAGTTCCCCCA